TAGATGGATTGCTGAGCTCTTAGCAGCCTCCCGTTTCTGGAGTAGCTGCTCTGATCTTACAGAGAAATCCCGGTGGCTTCGTTTGTGGTGGGTGTCGAGATTCATTTTATTTTAAAAGCTGTGACTCAAAACCAACACCGAATGTCCGGACGCAACTCTGAGTCTCGGCCATCATCTGAGGCTCTCCTATTGGAAGAGGTCGCCCTTCAGGCTTCAAAGGAATACGCGATAATGTCCGAGCAACGCAGGAGGGCCTCCCTCTGAACCCCCAGAGGAGTCTGAAGCTGGGAAACGTGGAAGTTCAGGATGTCGATGTCCGAGGCGCCAAAGAAGGCCGTGACGTTGACCTTCTCGTACATGGTGAAGTTCACCGGCTGGCCAGCCATGGCCAAGAGGCTGCGTAAGTAGCGTTCCCGTAGAGCGACCCGTGCTTCTTGCTCCTCCTCTAGGACGGCCGGGTCCTTGTATGCTACGGAAGGCAGGCTGCTGGGCCCCAGAGCCTGGAAGCGAGGGGAGCTGGGATCAAAACCGCGGCTTGACCCATCCGGTCCCCGGGGTAGACGGAGGACAGACACGGCGGCGCTCATCGTCGATCCCTGCTTGAAAAGAAAATAAAGGGAATGCCATTATATTCGGAATTAAAGAGAATAAACAACGGGGCTGAGGCCCTCCAGGTGTTTTAGATCGGGGTCTCCAACCTTGGCAGCTTTAAGACTTGTGGACTTCAACTCCCAGAATGCCCCAGCTGGCCATGCCATGCCCAGCTGGGTGAATTCTGGGAGTTGAAGTCCACAAGATTTAAAGTTGCCAAGGTTGGAGACCTCTGTGTTCGAAGAACAGATAGTACAAACTTAAGACTCTCAACATAGACTTAAGGGTACAGATTTGGAGTCAAAACTCAAACATGTCAAAATTTGCAATTCTTCTAAATCCTCGTTCTTTGGCTAAGGAATCTGGGAGTGCTAACTTGGCTCCCCTTGGAGCTTGTTTTCAAAAGGGAGCTGGATTTTCCTGCTTTGCTAGAAGACATTTCGCTCCTCGTCCAAGAAGCTGCTTCAGTTCTGGCTGAATGGTGGAGGGTGGAAGGGTTTGTAGTCCTTGCATATCACCTGGTGGTTAGCCCACTTTCTGAGAGTTGCTGAGGCTGCTTGGAGGTTTACCTGCGCCCTCGGGGGGTCACCCAAATCCTGTAGTCTGCGGTTTTTTTCTTCATTTCTTTTTTCCTGGAAATCCTTTCACGCTCGTCACTTGAAGGAGGTTGTCGGAGTATGAAACGATTTCCAGGAAAAAAAAAATTGCAGATTACAGGATTCAGGTGACCCTGAGGGTGCAGGATAAACCTCCAAGCAGCCTCAACGACTCTTAAAAGAGCGCTAATGACCAGATGACTGCAAGGAATAAAAATCCTTCCCTCCTCCACCATTCAGTCAGAACTGAGGAAGCTTCTTGGAGGAGAAGCGAGACTTCTTCAAAGAAAAACCAGAACGTCCAGTTGCCTTTTAAAAAATAAAAAATAAAAACCTGCCCTAGCTGGCAATCCTGCCTGCCCGTCCAGCCCATCCTCTCTGCAAACTGCTGGACACCACGGAGTTAACCGAGGCTTACAACAGCCTTGTAAACAGGAAGTGCAGCTGCACAAGGACAGCCTATTTTCCAACTCTGGATGGTGGCGGCACCAAGTTGACGCTTCCTCGCTGTGCCAACATCCCCTCCGGCAGGCGGCCAAGCCCAGGTCATCGGCAGAGAGGATGTTTTCCACAGTCCACGACCGGGGAAAGCGAGCAGCGGCCAAGGACGACTGCCAGCCTCCGAGGGAAGGCAAGACGGCAATGCGGTGGGAGGGGAAAAAAACGGCTGCAAGAGCCCTCCAGACTTATAGGCCGCTTCACAGTGCTTTACGCCCTCCCTCCCCGCCAACAATCCAGGTCCTCATTCTACTGACTTCAGGAAGAGGGAAGGCTGAGTCAGGATTGAACGGCTGGCAGTCGGCAGAGTTTGCCTGCAATGCTGCATTCCAACCACCAGGGTCCACATGTGGCTTGGATCTTTGACACCAGCCTTTCCCCAGGCTGGCTTTTCATGTGTGACCCGATCCGCCTTCTCCAACTTTCTCCATCTTCCACAGAATTTGGGACTGTGAGACCCCAGGCGTCACCCGGACACAAAGCGACGAGCATCCAGCCCATCAAAGGCAGCTTGCAAGAACAAAGTCTCTCTTGTAGCAGCAGAGGGCTTGATACAGGTAGTCCTCGACTTGCGACCACAAGTGAGCCCAAAATTTCCTGCCTGCTAAGCGAGGCAGTTCTTGCGTTTGACCTCATTTTACGACCTTTCCTGCCACAGTTGTTAAGCGAATCACTGCAAAGTTAGTAACGTGGTGGTGAAGTCAATCTGGCTTCCCCACAGATGGTCGCCACAAGTTGATCACATGACCCCAGGACACTGCAACCGTCATAAACACGAGCCAGTTGCCAAGTGTCTGAATTTTGACTGTGTGTCTATGAAGATGCTGCACCCATAGCTGTTAAGTGTGAAAAATGGTTTTAAGTCATTTTTTTTCAGTACCGTTGTAACTCCAAATGGTCACTCTACGAATGGGTTGTAAGTTGAGGACTACCTGTATACACTGGTCCAATTCACCGCACCAATCTTGCCTTTTTTCAACCACAATGGTCCCGTACATACAAAACGGCCCACTCTGCTCTGGCCAATTCGGGAATTCTCTTGTTTCAAACTGGACCTGGCTGTGCTTTTAAAACAATTCGGGCACAAGAAAAGACGGCCAAGCAACAACCTCTTCTTTGAATAAACCAGGATAGTCAACCTCTGATTGTGCCTCTGATTCAGAGCGACAGTCCCAATGCATCAGATTGGAAGGATGCCGGCTTAAGGAACCACAATTAGCTTTCATTCTGTAACTTCACAATTAAGACAAGAGCAGCAGCTTAATAATTCTTGTTGCTGTCACGAAGAGTCATAGAGAGTATTTTAACTTACTGCAACCTGTGTAGGGTTTGCCACTTGCACAGGGGCAGATAGGACAGCACTCCAGAGGGTTAATGTCATTGTCCAGAAGATCATTGGTTGCCCTCTCCCCTCTTTGGAAGAGCTTTAGAGCTCCCGCTGCCTTAAGAAAGTTCAAAACATCCTAAAACATCCATCTCATCCTGGGCACCCTTTTTTTGAACTATTAACACCCGGCAGACGGTACAGGACAATAATAAAAACAAGGACAAATAGGCAGAAGAACAGCTTCTATCCCAGGGCAGGAGCTCTCTTGAATTCTAGTGTATAGGGCAATATCAAGGGTTTTCAATACAATTGTATAGAATTTGAGGGGTGTGTGTTTTATTTTTTTATGTATAATGTACACTGAAGAGGGCATTTAATTTTAGTTGTACGAAGTGCAGTGACAATAAAGTAAACTATTAACTGAAGGGGTGTCCAATCCTGGCCACTTTTCAGACCTAAAGGTTCCAACTCTCAGCATGGCTGGCTGGGGAATTCTGGGAATTGAAGTCCACAAGTCTTTAAAAGTGGCCAAAGTTGGACACCCCTGCTGTAGCGTATCATGGGCAGCTCCATCGTGGCCCGATGTGTTGAAGAAGAATCAAAAGAGCCCCAGGCAATGTTGGCTAAAGGATAAATTAATTGGTGTCCCATGTCCAGAAAGTTAGTCCCAAAGGGGTTACGCTCTCCTGGTGCATGATTCAGCTTGAGGGGCAGTTGAGCCATAGTGACCACCCTCTGCTCCGATGACCCTCTGGAGACGTGGCTGAACCCAGGCACGGGCACTGGGAATATCACGTATGCCTTCTAAGCACGAGCAAAATATTTTGCAACTTTCGCTTCGAGACACAGCCGGGTTTCTGGGACGGAAAAGTCCAGGTTTAAGTCTCAGGAGACACACACACACACACACACACACCAGCCACCAGTCCCTGGTCAGACAACATTCCTGCATGGTGTGTTTGTTCCAAATGGCCTGCGCTGGCTGAAGGCCTCTGGCTTCCCTCTCTTCTGTTTATGCGCTGTTTATGTGCTCTTTCCACAGACGGCTCCTTCTCCGAGTGTGTTGTCTGGCAGGAAGAGAGGAGCTTCCTGGCCGCTGGAAGCCCTCTCCAGCCGGCCTGATAAGAACCCAGCTCAGGCCGGCTGCACTCCTGGGCAGGGGGCCAGGGTGTGTGTGTGT